GAGACATCAGAGAGTTAGCCAGGAGTAAAGAACAAAAAGACTGAGATTCAAGAGAAGACAGCAATGAGACCTGGGCCTGGATTCAGTCACTTTTGCCCTGAGGTGACTGAGCAGCTTAGCAATGCATCTGATATGCTGGAGGGAGGTCGGGGGTGGGGGGAAAGTTGGGGTGTTGGGGCACCTGTGACTGTATCCTGTGCTTAGGTTGGCGCTTGAAAGGCTGCACTCTGGGAATAACAGTGAATCAGAGGGAAAGTGGAAAAAAAAAAAAAAGCAAAAGACAGTCTAGACAGGCGTTAGCCTCAGGCAGAGACATCCAGGGACTTAGAGAGTCTCAATATCTGAAGATAGAATTAGGTAATGCCAGATTGCTAGTTGGCCAGGAGCCTCAGAGGAGCCATGAAAATCCTGTGGGCTGCAAACTAGTTCTAGAAGTAATTTTCAAATGTAATGACTAGTAAACTATCAGATTTAGCCTGACATGGGAGGAAACATGATTAATAAGAATAGACAGAAAGAACTGACAATAGAAATAAACTCCAGAGGATCCAGAGATTAGAATTAGATTACAATGTGCCTAAGATGGTTAGATAGCATCACCAACTCAAAGGACATGAACTTGAGCAAACTTTGGGAGAGAGTGGAGGACGGGGAAGCCTGGCATGCTACAGTCTGCCGGGTCGCAAAAAGTTGGACATGACTCAGCAACTAAACAACAACATGCATCCTTAACTTCAGTCCAGGCCTTTTCCTACCTGGATGGGGCAGCATAGAGGCACCATCTCCATACAATTAGTAGTGTGTCGCTTCACACAAAATACAAGAAACTCAACTGAGTGTAATTCCATTCAACTGTCTGTGGTGCTAATGGGACCACACATTTTACTTCTATCCAAAGTTGAAGCCTTCTGCAGAGCGTTTATTTAGTGTTCCTTCTCATATTTCCCTTTCTCCTTTATTGCTCTTTCTTTCTGTTGTATCATGAAGTTTATTTTACAGATGAGAGAACTGAAGTTTGTAAACATCAAGGGACAGACTCAGACTTCCTGGCAACTACTAGGTCATGGAGCAGGATAGAGGGCTAAGTCTCCAGATCCCATGGGTTTTAAAAAAATATATTTATTTAGTTTTGGCTGTATCAGGTCTTTGTTGCTGGCTTGGGCATTCTCCAGTTGCAGTGAGTGGGGGCTACTCTCTAGTTGCCATGGGCAGGCTTCTCATTGCAGTGACTTCTCTTGTTGCGGAGCATGGGTTCTAGGTGCACAGGTTTCAGTAGCTGGGGCACACAGGCTGAGTGGCCCCAAGACACATGGAAACTCCCCAGACCAGGGATTGAACCTGCATCTCCTGCATTGCCAGATGGATTCTTAATCACTGGACCACCAGGGAAGTTCACTCCATGGGTTTTTATGGTTGTAGAAGAAAAAATGTTTCAGTGAATCAGATTGATCCTCCAGAGCCAGCATTTGCAAAAAAGTCTTGATACTTGTCTATACTTTGCAAAGAAGACTCTTGGAATGTGGGGTTTTAAAGTAGACTTATCATCATTATCTTTTGCGACCACAGGATCTGTGTTATACTGGTAAATGTTTAGTAATTGCTTGGCTGGTGGGGGTGCTGGCCGACTTACAGAGCACACAGATTTCTGTCATGTAAATACCTCCTCCTTAGTTGATTTCAGGGTTTCCTCGGTAGCTCAGCAGTAAAAAATCCAATTGCAATGCAGGAGATGTGGGCTTGATCCCTGGGTTGGGAAGATCCCCTGGAGGAGGGCATGGCAACCCACTCCAGTATTCTTGCTTGGAGAATCCCCATGGACAGAGGAGCCTGGTGGCAGAGAGTCAGACACGACTGAAGTGACTGAGCACACACATACAAGTTGATTTCAGGCTACCAACATGGTATCACAGAAGCTGAGCTGGGGAGAGTAGTTTACTATTATATATTTTTATCACACAGACACAATAGATGTAAGCATTCTCAGGAGCATAGATACTAGAAAAACATAATTAGGAAGTTGTGTGCTTTAGTATGATTTAATTTTTAATATGATTTAATTGTAAATTTGGGCTTCCCCGGTGGCTCAGACAGTAAAGAATCTGCCTGTGATGTGGGAGACCTGGGTTTAATCCCTGGGTGGGGAAGATCCCCTGGAGGAGGGCATGGCCACTCATTCCAGTATTCTTGCCTGGAGAATCCACATGGACAGAGGAGTCTGGCAGGCTACAGTCCATGGGGTTACAAAGAGTTGGACATGACTGAGTGACTAAGCATGATTCTAAGTTTATATAATGTAATTCTTCACGATGGCTGTGTTTAAACAACCGGCTCATGAGATGGCTGTAAATCCTCTTGGCTCTTGAGATCAGCCAGTTTTTGAGCTGGCTCCAGCACCCTGCTACATTAGACTAAACTGACACAGGAACAAAGACCAGGGCACACAATTCAATACCAGTCCAGTTGGTCAGGGTTTGTAGCAAGCTATGGTTTCTGCTGGAGAAGGCAATGGCACCCCACTCCAGTACTCTTGCCTGGAAAATGCCAAGGGGGATGGGGGTGAGGGCTACATGTAGAAACAGCAGTCAGCTTTGACAGTCATCTTGAAACTGGCCATTGGTGGCCTGACCAGCACCATCTTGGTTGTTTTAGGTACAATTCATTTTCAGCTCCAGGGCTGGTTTGTTTCCATCTCTTTGAGGCCAGTTCTAGGAGTTGTGGCAGCTTACCTTGTGGGTACAGTCTGGTCACCATGTAGTTAACTTTTTCCACCTGGGGTTTCAGGATCTATAAGACAGCTCATAGGATATGGCTCAGAATGTTACCCATAGCCCTTGACTGTGCTTAATGACTAACATTATTATTGTTTCGTCTCCTTTGAGTGTTTTGCTTTGTTTCTGCACGTTCTCATTTCCCTGATCAAGCTTATTCTTTGACTAAAGTTTTCCACAGCCAGAAAGCAGGCAGAGGACATTGAGGCGGGGAGGACACGATGGCCCTGATCCATTTCAGTAGCACACTCACTATACAAAGGCGGCTGTCCGCCAGGCAATGAACAGGTCAGGCAGGATCACTGGGGAGGGTGCACCCAATGCTTACATCTTTTGTCCTGAGTCACTGAATTTCAGGAGACAACCGCAGCTTCTGCCAGCTTCAGATTCTGAATCTGCAACCCAACCTATCTCTCCAGTGATCAGAGTTAAATTGTACTCCTGGGAGGAGGTGAGAATAGAAATAATAGAAATGGAAATCAGAATTGGCATAGAGATCATGAAAAAAGCCACTTGAGACCCATGGATTTGCCGCTTCTATAAATATTTACATGTACTGATTATATTTGTAATCAACATGAATGTGGAAATGTTTCACCTGCTGTTTGTTTAAAACATCAGAGAGCGACTGATCCCGTCTTCTTGTGATTTTAATTAAATGTTTAGGAGAGTTTGAGTTTGCAATCAAATCTTAGGGACATCTGATTTAACTTAGAACATGTTGCTTGCCAGCTGCGAGAGCCCTGCGTATTTACAGCCGTTGTTCTCAAAGTCTGGTCTCCAAATTCTCAGATTCTGCCCCAGAACTGCTGAGTCAGAAACTCTTGGGGGAGGAGGGCAGCAAATGTGTTTTAATGAGCCCCCCCAGGGAGTTCCGATGCACGGTCATGTTTGAGAACCATTGCTCTAAAGGGATTATTAACCTCCTAAGGAAAGTAAATTGGATATTAGATAAATTACCAAAGGTAGCAGACATTTCTCTCAAAACACTAAGCCTCTTGGACATCCAGAAGACATTCTCTTCTGGAGCTTTTCCCACCAAACTCTTGGTTCTCCTCTGGCCCTCACACATTTTTTCCTTTTGTAAAGTGCAGGATGAAGTAACCAAATAACACAGCCATTTCCTCTCTAGGTTTGGGGGTTGGCACTCTAGGATTGAAATCTGCCATGGAGTTCAGGCAGTGCCACTGCTAGGATCGTCCATCAGATATTAATTTCTAATTGCTCCCTCTCCATTTCCCTCACCGCTGTTCTAAGCAAAACATCAAGTCCTAATGTTGCTTTATCATCTCTTGCAAGGGGGAAACTGGGCATGATTTAGAGTCAGTGGCTTACAGCAAGTGTGTGTGTGTGTGTGTGTGTGTGTGTGTGTGTGTGGTGTGCTACATGTGTGTATGTGTTTTAAATTCTGCTTTCATTAAACAGATGATGTTGGGTGGACTGATAGATGGAGAGGAAGTCCAGAGAGGAGAGAGGGCATGGAGAGTTTGGGGTCATAACTTAGTGCAGACCCATGCCACAGGTCTGGACAGCACTCTGCAAGGTGACGAGGCCTGAGAGGGATGGCCTGGTGCCCCAGGAAGACATCATTTCTGTCCTCACCAACGGGTGATGCTGGCCTGCATCTCAGGCTGGGTGCACCCTGGGAAGTGGTACCTGACCCTGAGTCCCTGAGACCTCGACACACCCAGTGTGGATGGAGGGAGGGAATGTAGCTTGGGGGAAGGAGACTGAATTTTTTTTTTACTGCCTGTGAAATGATAGTTTGCAATCAGATTTAAGTGGATCTGGAGAAAATAAAGACACATGAACTTTCTTGCACACATCTGAGAGTGTGCTGTGGACTTTCACTCCAGCTTCAGTTCATTTCCCAGGATTTTTGCATTCCTGGGAAGCCACATGTTTCTCTCCTCAAATGTATTATCCCAGACAAACACTTGGCACATTGAATCTGTCCCTCCCTTCTCTTTCCCTGTCTTTAGACAGAATATTATTCAACTCAAGCTAAAAGTGAAAACATCGATGATGCTTGAAACCTCCTTTGGGTAGGTGCCTCTGTACTTTGAGGTGGTTCCTGCATGTTGGTGGGACAGAGCTCTAAATTCCCAGGGCCAGGGGATTTTCAGGATGAGCATGGGGCATTGTGTCTGACTCAGAGCTTGGTGACACAGGTGGCCCTGCTGTCCTTACTCCCAGCCTTAGGTGTGGTCAGAGCCTTCAGTGACCAGGACCTTCACATTCATGTGAGGCTGGCTTTGAACAAATGTTTGTGCAGGAAGCACAGGAGGTGCTGGGTGGAGGAAGTACAATGACGATGGGGTTCTTTCCTCTTGGAATGATCAAGGTTAGTATTTTTTCTTACTGATTTCTGTATTTAAATGTTAGAGGGATGAACCCTGTCATTTTGTAGCAAAAATATATTTTGGGTTTGTCCTTTGTCTCCCTACTTCATTTGATATATTTTGGTCTTCATACAAGCAAAAACCTTTCCCATAGTCAAATACAGTGTTTCTTGTCCTTCATGGATTTTTCCATTGCTTTTACATTTAATGAACTTTCCCCTGCATTGGAATTTGTTACTTATTAACTATTTTTTCACCTAATAGTTTTTCATGGTTTGGCTAATATAAAACTAGGTGTCTTTTGGTACATGCAATACAAGTCAAAATGTAAGTTTTTTTCCTGCCTTGACTACTTAGCCAATATCCCCACACTATTTGTTGAATAATCCATTCCTCTTTCATGGGTTCACTCTGCTTTCTTTTTGCAAAAAGACAGCTTTATTGAGGTATAATTTATTGACCATAAAACTCATCCACTCTCAATGTATGATTCAGTAAATTTTAGTAATCTGCAGAGTTATGCAGTCATCCCCACAATGGAGCATCTCTATCGTTCTCAGAACATCTCTTCCTTGTGCCCATTTGCAGTCAGACCTCACTGCTGCTGATCCCCGGGGCAACCATGGGTCTGCTTTCTGTCTCTAGGGATCTGACATTTCATGTCAGTGCAGTCATCCACGGTGTAGTCTTGTGCACCTGGCTTCTTTCACATGGTGTGATGGTTTTCAGGTTCATCTGTTCAGCATTTATCATTAGTTTGCTCCTTTTAGTCATGGCATAATACCCCATTGTGTGAACATACCAGATATTATTTGTCCATTTATCAGGCAATGGACGTTTGGGTTGTTTCTACCTTTTGGTTATTGTGAATCAAGCTGCTCTGATCTTTGACATATAAATCTTTGTGTTGATGAATGTTTTAATATCTCTGGGGTAGTTTCCTCGGAGTGAAATTCCTGGGTCATATGATAAGTTGATGTTTAACTTTTTAAAGAAATGATTTTCCAAAGTGTCAGTGCCATTTTACCTTCCTGTCAGTGGTGCATGAGGGTCCCAGGTTCTCTATATTCTCACCAACACTTGTTCTTGCATGACTTAAAAAAAATTCTTTTATTTTTTTTAATTGGAGGATAATTACTTTATAATACTGTGATGGTTTCTGCCACACATGAACATGAATCATCCACAGGCATAGGTATGTCCCCTTCCTCTTGAACCTCCCTCCCACCCCGTTCCAACCTTCTAGGGTGTCACAGAGCACCAGCTTTGAGGTCTCTGCATCTTCCTGCTTTAAAAGAGGAAGGAAATGTCTTCCTGCATTAAAACTACCTGTTTTAAAACATTTACATCTGTTTCATTTTTATATTTTAAACTGATACAGTTGCCAGTATTTTTCAAGTTATGCTTTAAGAATAACTCTGTTTTCATTTTTTTTTTTTTGAAGAGATGAAACTGTTTTCAAATCCTTCCACAGGGAGGGGAATACAATCTAGCTCTTTCCTACATAAAACATTTTAATCTCGGTCATAGTAACTCTCATGAAAGTTTATTTCCCCTAAAACATTAAAAAAATATTTATTTCTCATCTCATATTTATTTCTTAACTCCTAAACAAAATTTTGAATTCAAAGTCAAGTAAATTTTGATTTTGATCTTTGAGCTTACTTCTTTGGGCTTTGGAGATGGTGAAAACACCATGAAAGTTTCCAAGTCCTTGAGATCCCCTTAGTCTTAAAGTTTTTTGGACACTGGGGCCTAAGCAAGGCTTTTTTCCTTGTTACTCATCTGGGGTGGGGAGGGGGTGGGCTCCTTCACTGAATACTTCACTCTGTGACCTTCACCTCAGCTTTGGGTCTGTCTCCAAGAACGTCTGGGCTGTTCAAACAGGACCCAGAAGGCCTGTGTCCGTGCAGCGATCTGGGGCGCCCTGCCTGCCCGCTGACCTGGGTGTACCCAACTGCTGCCAGCTCTTTGCATCCGCAGAGAGTACCTAGCGCAGGCTCTAGGTCGTGGTGTCCTTGAAAACACCGAGTTCCTCCGGGGTGGAATGGAACTTTTTGTTCTTTGCTGTCCCTCCTCCCAGACTGTGTCACCTGACTGGAAGAATTAGGTACGAGGGTGGAGGATCCCTGCAGGGATGACTGTCCCTTAGTCACCATTTCTCACTGAGAGGCGTCTCTAGGACCCTTAGATATCTTGCTGCAGTCTTGCAGAGTGCTGGGTGGAGCAGTTGTGAATGGGTGCGATTACCTTCATCAGCTGATCTTCATTTCTGCAAAGTCATTGTGGAGATCAGGCAGATGAACATAAGTGGGGCAAGAGGTGTTTCACTGCCGGAGCACCATCTGAATTGCTCTGTGCTCAGCGTTTCTTTGAGGATTGTGCCCGTGGCAGCACCTTCTTTCCAGAGCTTCCCGCAGGGGACCCTGGAATGATTTGGGGAAGAATCTCATAGACTATGAAGAACTTTTCCTCCTTTTTAAACTTGCATTTATTTATTGGCTGGGTCTTCATTGCTGTGAGAACGTTTCTCTAGCTGCGGTGTGCGGGCTTCTCATTGCTGTGGCTTCTCTTCTTGTGGGCTCCAGGACACACAGGCTTCAGCAGCTGCAGTGTGTGGGCTCTAGAGCTCTGGCTTGGTATGTGGCACACAGGCTTAGCTGCTCTGTGGCAGGTGGGATCGTCCTGGACCAGGGCTCGAACTTATGTCTCCTGCATTGGGAGGCAGATTCTCTACCACTGAGCCGTCAGGGGAAGTCCCTTTCCCCTCCTTTTTAAAATACGGCTCGCATACCATATTTTAAAAGGAGCATCCCCAGTGGCTCAGAGGGTACAACTGCCTGCAATGTAGGAGACACAGGTTCGATCCCTGGGTTGGGAAGATCCCTGGAGAAGGGAATGGCAACCCACTCTAGTATTCTTGGCTGGAGAATTCCATGGACAGAAGAGCCTGGCAGGCTATAGTCCATTGGGTGGCAAAGTGTGAGACATGACTGAGCAACTAACACACACACATATACCATTACCATCTATTTCAAAGAATAAACCATTCACCCTAGTGGAATTTTAAAAATAGCAAGGTATTATATAGGTATTTTTGTTTCTTTCTATTGTGAAATTATACCCATTCAGAAAAGTGCAGAAAACTTATGAGCCATGTGGTCATTAATTATCATGATTATTTTAATTAATTAATTAACTTTGGCCATGCTGTGCAGCATGTAGGATGTTAGTTCTCTGACCAGGGATCGAACCTGGGCACATGAAGGATTCCTGCAGTCATTAATCATTAAAAACTAAACGCCAGGTAACATCACTCAGGGCAAGACACTGCACATGACTCACCTCTGAGGGTCCCCTCGCTATCATCATCTCCTTATTCACCCTTCAGGCTATTCAGGTGTTCATGATAACTACTTCCTTCCTTACCTTACCCTCTCAGATCCATCTCCAAACACCGTCATTTAGTCTTGCCTGTTTTTGCTTTCTTAATGGTCTCTTTTGATGAGCAAAAGTTCTAAATTTCAACGCAAAGTTGCTCAGCATTTTCTTTGATGGCCAGTGCTTTTTTATGTCCACTTTAAGAAGCCCCTTTGCTGACCAGTGGTCTTGAAGGCAATCTGTATTACTTCGTAACCATCATTTGGCTTTTTACACAGAGCTTCTCAGCAACCCCGGCACAGTGCGAGGCAGAGACCACAGCTCACAGTTGATTCCAGTGCCTTGGGGTGACTCACTGGAAAGATTCCACCGGGCTGTAGTGCCATTGTCCTCGGAAATCAAGAGTCATATTTTCATGATGTCGTTTTGAGCTTTCTAGTCTGTTCTGTTGGCCTATTTTCTTTTAATCCTTGTGCTCATGTCACACTGGCTTAATTCCCAAGCCTTTATAATAAATCTCGGTAGAACAAGGTCCAGTAGAACAAGTCCTTCCACCTCCAAGTTTCATGGCTTCTTCATCGCCATAAATTTTAGAAGCAGCTTAAGTTTCACACATGCACAAATGTTGGAAATTTGATTGGAATCACACTGAATTAACAGATTAATTTTTAAAGAATTTTCATTTTTACAATATTGAAAATATGTCCTTAAACATGGTATTATATGTCCCTCCATTCATTTAAGCCTCACTTAAATTCCTTAATGCTGTGTTTTGTTTGGCTCTTAGACTCTTGCAGCTCCTTCTGTGCCCCCTGCATTGGGAGCAGAGCCTTGGCCACTGAGCCATCAGTGAAATCCCTGTGACCCAGTTCTGCGTATTTGAACACTCCGGTGTTGGAGTTGATTAGCTCCGATTAGTTTCCTGGAGAGTGTGACCAATGGCCAACCCCTATCAGTCCTTGGCCTAGCAGAGCAGATACAAGACTTGGAGGGGCAGGTGGGCCCTTCCCAGTGCCAGGTAACCTGGACAGAGAATCAGGCGCTCTCACTGTCCCCACCGTTTCTGAGGAGCCAGGTCCTCTGCAGTTACTGTCTTAACTGGCTTCCTTGCCTCTGCCTCACACTCACCAGCCTGTTCCCCTGGTTTCCTGCACAGAACATTCTAGAACTTTTCACAGCTTGAAAGGTCCAGGTGTCCCACAGCATTTGCTCTATGGAGTGCTTTCTCCAGAATCAAAGCCTCCCAGTGGGAGTCCAGGTGTTGAGGGATTTCTGGTGTCGCTGTTTTGGTCTCCAGATGGGGAACTCTAGACTCGGGGAATGTGTGACACCCTGAACTGTGGCTGTTTGGGGTGGACCTTGGCAATAGAACCTTCTGTTCTGAAGGAGCTCAAGTCACAGGCAAAGTGACCTGTATATAAGCAGAGGAGACGGAAACTGTGTCTAAACACATTTCTATGTAAGTGAGGCTGACTCAGGGCAGAAACGGAACACAAGGAAGGCCAAATCATTTAGAGAAATCCTTGCAGGGGTGACAGCTGGCCTTGGGCAGTGCCCCATGTGATGCATATTTACTGGGCCTGTCCTGTGCCAGACGGTCTTCTGAAGCCTGGGACACAGC